ACTCCTGCCTCCCAGATTAAAGCATTTAAAATAGCCAGAGAGATTACATGACAAATAATTTATCTCTTTGAAAAATTATAGCAGCACCCTGGAAATAATACTGTGGTCAGCAGTCAAATATGTTTACTCCGCTAAAGACATGTTAACTAGCAGGGATTTATGTTTTTAATTTTTTCACATTTATTTCTTTGTGTGTGCATGTGTGTGTGTGCGTGTGTGTGTGTGTGTGTGTGTGCATGTGTGTGTGTGTGTGTGTGTATATCATGGCATATTATGTAGGTCATAGGACAACTTGTGGAAATCAGTTTTTCTTCTACCATGTGGGTTCCAGGACAGAAATCAGGACAGAAGTCAGGCTCGGTAGCAAGCACCTTTACCAACTAGCCCAATCTAAAAGGATTTCTTTGTAGTGAATGAATCATTTCCTAAGGCAAATTAGCCTACTTCACACCTACCAGAAACCATCTGAATATCTTGATCAGTATTTGCCTTAAGCAAATATGTCACCAAGTATACAGACAGATTTCATAAGCCAAGTAAATGTTTTCCAAGCAAGTTTTGAAAAAAGAAAATTTGTGGAGACATATAGGGCCACTGGATTTTTTTTCAAAGATAGTAGTAAACCAACTATAATCGAATACTATTATTTCATAAAATCAGTGTCAAAATTAAAGAAACACAATTTCATAATTGAAAAGTCATAGTAATGTCCTTGTATTTTCTTAGCTCAGCATAAGGTTAGTCAAGCACTGTGGTTACTAGAAGCTACCTTCAGAAGACAATCAGGATAAATGAAGCTCCCAGCCTCTGGGTGCTAATGCTTCCAGAAAACTTTAGGGAGAGGCTTGAATGGGAGGGTAGGTAGGCACTCAGTGGTTTCATATAATTATTGATCTGATAAAAAGAGGTCATTCTCCCCCTTCTCTCATTTCCCTCCAAATCAGAAAGTTTACAGTTAATCAGTATTAGTCAATCAACAAAACTCCCCTGCAATGCCTGACTTTTCCAGAAGGTGGCAAACTAGGGAGAAGTGGGGTGGAAAGAGCTAACAGTCAATCAGCATTAACCAGTCAACAACCACCCTGAGTGTATCTTGCCAGGCCAGTTGTCATTGCAGTTCACAGGATTAACAGCTGGGTAAGAATGGTGACTATTTTTTCCTTCTGGTAGCTCGCATAGCACCTTCCAGCACTATGAATGCTAGCCAGTAGAGGTGAGGCTCTGAAGTCAGCACCTGCTTGATTTCGCCTTGCTTGTTCTACAGCTCATGTACGTAGTATCTTCAGCAATAGGGTTTTGTCATCCAGTTCTGGTGGGTAACCAAGAGCAGGAATAATGACCAATATTGTTTGAGGGTTTACGCAATGCCTGGTCAACAGCTCCTAGAGAGGGAATCCATCCCTAGTATTGAGGGTTTTTTGTTTGTTTGTTTTTTGTTTTTTTTTTTCATTAGCCTATGATGACTAGAAAGGGCACCATTTCCCTGTTACAGGATAACTCCTTTTAATCTCTTTTTATGATGTGCATGTATATACTTTCAGAAACTTCTATAGTGGTAGGTTTCCATATGGATTTTTCTAAAGGCCTTTCGTGTTGCTTATCCCTCCCTATATGCCCTCCTCTGCCCTGCTTTCTCATTCCCCACTCCATTTAGTCTAACATTCCCCTTTCCCCCTTCATATCACTGCATTCCACCACCCCTCCCAGGAAGCCTCCACACCCACCCACCCATGACTGTTTATCCATTTCTTGACCTCTCTGAATTTTCAAATTGAAACATGCATATCTCAGATTCCTAAGCTAGCATCTAGCTATAAGAGAGAACATGTGATGTTTATCTTTCTAAGTCTGGGTTACCTCACCTGGGATGATTGTTTCTAGCTCCATTTATTTACCTGCAAATTTCATAATTTCATTTTTTTTAAGAGCTGAATATCTGACTGTGTATATGTACCATACCTTCGTTATCTAGTTATCAGCGGAATGACCATCTAGGTTATTTCCAGTTTCTGGCTATTGTGAAAAGGGCGGCAATGAACATGGATGAACAGGTATTTCTCTGGCAGGGTCTTTTGGGTATATGCCCAAGAGTGGTATGGCTGGATCATATGGTAGAACAATTTCAAACTTTTTGATGAATCGCCACACTGATTTCCATAGTGGCTGTATGAGTTTGTACTCCTACCAGCAGCGGCCTGGTAAGATATGCCCACTGGTGCAATAGTGACGCAAATATTATGGAAGTAGCCAACCATTCTTTAATTGGATTTAAAATTTGCTTCCTAGGATGTAGCCCATACCTGACACTGATAGCAGGCTTAGGAACCTGGGATTAAATAGGTCACAGGACTTTGGGGAGAACCTAATACTACTTTCTACTAAAAAGTTCTCATATTAAACTGCCTCTTAATGACGTGTTGTTATTCCCATAAATTAATGCATCTCTCAGCCGTCACCAGAGAAGTTTCCTTACGCAACAGATAGTGATTAACACAGAGACCCACAACTGGCCAACGTGCAGAGAACAAGAGGCTGCAGAGCACTTCTGCCCCACAAGACTCAGGGATCATAGTGGAAGAGGAGGCGGAAAGATTGTAAGAGCCATAGGTGGTGGATGACAACAGGGAAACAAGAGTTTTCCAGACAGCTTGTCAGTTACTCATATGAACTCACAGCAATGGTGACAGCATGCACAAATCCCATGCAAGCCCAAACCAGACAAAAATCCCAACATAGACATGAGGAACCATGTCTCCAACCACACCTCAGGAAATTGTGTCAACAGATGGCTGTTGGGAGGGGCAGAGACAGTTTCTCTCTTGTTAGGTTAACCAGGCTCCAGTGGATGGACCCACACTGAGGAACATTTGGAGACACAAATTAGACTCTATAGACTTTATTTTATAT